AGCAGGAAAGAGGGAGCCTAAAGCCATCTTGCTTCCAAGATGGACAGATATTTGCATACACACAGAGTTCACGTCATGTGTACTCATGCTCCAATGTAGGGGCTCACAGTTTTCAAAAGAGGACAGCATTTAAGAATTAGGTCAATTTTTCCTGAAACGTGGAAAAGTTATTTTTGCACACATGAGTACAACAGCTGTGACTCATAAGCAGTGGTATTCTAAAATACTCATGTTCGATTGACCTTAGGTATCCAAACCGTGCAAGCGGACGGCCGTGCTCCGGGAAAGGATGGTGCTGCCCTCTGCAGGCGGTCTAGGGCACTGCAGTGAGAACACGCCCTCATCTGAGTTTACACCTGCCTCTCAATCTCGGGCGCCGGAGCCCTTCATTCTCATAATAGAACCCAACTTCAGACTGTCTTCCATCCCCGAGGAAAGGTCCAGAGATGCAGCCACCATGTTTACGGTCAGGGCACCTCTTTCTTATTTCATCCCCCAGACCTCAACTCATTTCTCTGGACAGAAACGGGCCCTTTCTATGGGTGGGGTAGGCGGAGGGAGTCAGCATTTTTCTTTATCCTTTGAGAGGAAAGATGGAAGGGTTATGGGGTTAACTACTGTCACAGCTTGCCTCCATTTGGTTTCACTGCCTTAACCTTAAATGTTTTTGTAATCAGTATGTAGAATTGAAAAAAGGTGTCCTCCGAGCTCAAACGGATGGTGGTGCTCAAGTACTAGATGCTACCTGTTAAAAAAAAAAGAGAGAGAAATTATTTTACACGGTGCTGTAATCTTTTTGGAAACTTCTCAGAAAAATTAGATGTTTAGCACTTACATAAAAAATTAAATGTGGATTTGCCTTGTAAGACCTTGTTGTACTTTGGTACTGCAAGACTCAGCCCATGGATATAGAGCCCATAGCTACCTCCAAATAGATTTAATTTTTGAGCACAAGAAATATTTTGTCTTTTGTAAGTGGACGGAGCTGAAACAACTAAGCTTAATATAATGAAGAACTACAGTTACCAGGCTCCTCGCCACCCAGAGAACCGCTGCCTTCACACAGACTTAACTCTCGTCCACATTTTCCTCGTCTCTGAAAACAGAATCACAATTCTCCTGTGCGTTGAAACGGAATTCAACTAACATTTGGGTGCCTCCTTGGTGCTATTTCATCATGCTGGACCTTTCCCATATATCATGTAATCCTCACAGCCGTAACTTAGACAAGCTCATCTTCTATCTGGGGAAAACGTGGCTCTGAAGCCCGGGGTTCCTTCCATCCTCTTCCTTCCTGTCGCCTCATCCTAACCGGTCTCTCAACTTCCAAGCCTTCTTTCAAAAACTATCGTCAACGTATTTTTTCTCTACTTAAAACTTGGCAACTTCCAATTTTTCACTCAATCAACTCCAAATTCTCCAGTCTGGCTCTATTTTACCTACCGAACCACAAATCTCATAACTCTTTCAAGATGTTCCCTCTACGACAGCTGCCTGTGTCACCTCCTGACCTCACAACCCATCACCTCGGGTCCTGTGCCTTTCCACACACCTTCTGCCTAGAGCGCGTCCCCTGGTCCACACTGGCCCAAACCCCGCCCGTGCTGTCATGTCAGGCTCTTCTCCACACTCACCTCCTCCATGAAGCCTCACACAAATCCCTCCAAGCCTACACTTATTTCTCCCTCGCCAAGCCGCCCCGGGCACTATCACAGCATCGGGATATGGGCTGAGGGGCATGCATGCTGCTGGTGAGAGTGTAAACCACATGGCGAATCTGGGAAAACTGAATACTTATCATGTCCTACAACCCAGCACTTGCATTCCTAGATGTATATCCCAGGGAACTCTCGCACATACAAGCCAGGAGACTGGTACAAAACTGCTCCTGTTACAAGAGCAAACGAGTGAAAACCACCCAAATGTCTGTTGACAGAATGGATGTGTGTGTGTGTGTGTGTGTGTGTGTTGTTCTCCCCCAATGCAATGGAATATTGTAAAGTTAGTGAAAATGAATGAACTGAAGGAATGCAACATCAGGACTATAAAACCAGGTGAGTAGATAGTCACAGAAGACGAGGTAAAGGGTACCCTTTCTATAAAGCTCAAGAAAAGTAGAAATACACTGTATATTTGGGGAAGGAGGATGTAAAATGTGAGGGGAAAAGAGGAATAGTGAAATTGAGAGTAGTGGTGACCTTGTGCAGTGGGGGCAGGAAGGAGAAGGGTCGGTTAAGGGACACAGGTGATGACACTGGAGGTGTGTGAGTTAACTGGAGGCGGGTCCATAACCGCCGTGTGTTACGTGTAGTTGCCTGTTTGCTGGCTAACGGAAAAGCCATCAGGGGTCCTGTGATCTTTTCAAACCCACTGCCCAACTGGGTACAGAGGGAACGTGCGTTAGGTGGCTCAGGACAATCATTCTTAGTGTCCATCACTGCACGGAACGTTGGGAACAACCGGAGGGGCTGGGCCGAGTGACATCAGTCGTCACCAGAGGACACGACTGATGCATGGATATGTGGAAAGCACCTCCCCACAATCTCTTATAAAATTACTGATTGTGTAAAGACTGACTTGAGACTGGATTACAGAAGATAGAACCAATGTAATCAAAGGTACTGTATTGGGAGAGTTTCCTGGAAAACAAAATGGTATTAATAAATTTGAGGAAGTAAGTTAGGTCCTCTAGGCTTTTGGTGAGGGAGGGCCTGAACCAGAAACACCGCTCTTGGGTGATAGGGACTCTGTCTGAGCCGCCACAGTGCCTCTGGCACACACTGTGTGCTCAGGAAGCACAGAAGTGCAGACTCTTCTTTCAGCGGTCACACAGGTGACCCATATATATAGTAAGGCTGCTTGTGGGAAACATTTCCAGATGGTAAGTAACTTGGGGATTCACTGCCCACACTGCAGGAAAATAACGGGTTGATTCCTTAAAAAGGGAAAAAACCCCAAACCCACCAGGTAGGATGTCCTCCTATCTTTCACTTTTACAAAATTTGCAATAAAGCACAATTCTTAAGCCATTTTTCATTTTTTTTATTGCTGTTAATTCAAGGAAAAAAGGTTGCATAAAATCCAATCTGTTCTAGAAATATAAGTGGCCTTTCCAGTACATAACATTTCAAATATCAAAGTATATGGTAAACATACAAATAAGGAGAAGGTAACATACCTCCTATGTACAGTACAGTCTTTTAAATCATAAAATAAGCTCCATAAAGTACAACTGGCAAGTGGTTCACAATGCAGTCCAGATGGGGCTTATCAAAACTCTCACTTGAACAACTCAACTGCAGCTCAACAATTAATTTAATAATGTGGTCCAAAAATACCCAGATCAAACAAAATACATTTAATCAAAATAATTTCCTTTACTCGGACTTCTTCTCTTTTTAAATTAAAGCTTTCGTCTACCCCCCCTTCACACCCCACCCCTTCCTTCCCCTTTAACTCCCACCCCGGAAAGAAGGTTTCAAAATGTATATTGGTGCTATAAATATAAATTCTATCTGTGAAACATTACACGAAGCTTCTTTCTTCAAGTGTTTCCTTTTGTCTGGCAATCTGTTAGGCTTCCGAACCGAGACCAGATATTCAAGTTCCTCTGCTGCACACCAACGTGACCCCACACAACAAACATCTGTCGATTCTGCCCTGTACTGAGGATGGGGAAACAAACCCAACCCCAAGCCCTCAACCTGCGACTCTACAGTGGTAGCTGCTCACTGCTGTTGAATGCAGCAGTCCAAACCTGCACCCCGTCTTCCAGATAACCTCAGTGCACTTTAGGAAATCAAAAATTACCTGGAAGCAATTTAGTACATAGATTGGCTTTAAAAAAACTTTTGTTTTTAAACAGCAGCATTAAACTTAGTGATGTGACACTGACATGATTCATACCATCTTAACACACGCAGAATTCAGTCTTTCACATTATAATCAAGCATAGTGGTAAACTGTTATAAAAGTGACTTTGCTACGAGACAAGTTAGGGAACAAATACCTGACTTTTGTAGAAACGCAGAGCTTCTGTTCAGATTGCAATAAAGCATACACATTTTAAACGCAATGGAACACTGTAACAGTTGGTGTAGGAAAAGAAATCTTGACTCAAGTGTCTCTTTTACATGACACAGTGGTAGACTACAGGTAAAATTGGCTGTTGATTTTCATGACAAACAAACACACAGAAGAACCACACTCACACTAGTTTGTTCACTTTATGTCTCTCTGAAGCAACAGGCTAAAAAAGTATGATGAAGTAAAAAGGTTTTGTTTTTTTTTTTAAAGAAAAAGTTCTTTGTCCACTTCATGTCATATTTTCTCAGTTTCATATGATTTGACTTCCTCCTCTCTCTCCCATTTGTTTTAATTTTTATTTGGACAACAAGCACTGCATATATGTATTTACGTGGTGCTGTTTATTACATATATACACACTATTTTGGGAATGTGATTCTCCCTTATGATTAAGGTGAAACATTCTACCCTCAATTTATATGCAGAGCAGTTTTACAAAGTGTGGACAATGCAGTGCCAACCACTCCTGCGGCCACTGGAAAGAG